AAATAAGTACTGTCTTCTGTGAGTTCACTGAGCAGAACAGTGGCCTGAGGAGAGAGTCAGCACAGAAGTATTCTGCAAACTTCCATCATCTGTGAAATGGGATCATGTGTCTTATGACTACCCTATATTTATATCTACTACTGTTATTGTCAGATCTCCGAAATGGAGAAAGCATATGCGAGCAATAGTATTTTCATTATCTGAGAACAATCGTATGCATTCTCTATACTGAACACATACCATGGAGATTTGCCCACATGGGACATTACAAAATCTGCCTTTGCTTTGTGAAATATCATGAAAGCAACTACCCTACCGCACTCTCTTTTAGATTATTTGACACTCTTCCTGTCAAATAAATTATCCAGTTATGGGCTGCAATAAAATATTAGAAAACACACGATAACCTTGTGTGCAGCGATCAGCAATTGCTAACTTTTAAAGAAATACAGAATTTGTGAAAATAAGTGTGCACCAGCAGACAATCAAAAAGAGTTTCCACATGTGCTTTTAGGAGAGAAACAGTTGATCTCTAGTTTTTAGCTACACCTATCGCACACGTTTGCTGACCATCATCCATGGGACATTCCTCAGAGGTGGGTTTCAATGTGAACATTGATGTTACGACTGCTAGATAAGCCTGCAATTTTTAATTTGCTACAAGAATGGGAAATCCACAAGATATGCTGTTGGTAGGCACCGTAATTTCATCTAAGATTTTTCAGAGCATTTATCTCCTCCAAACCAATAGCTAAATCTGCTTTGTGCTCTAACTCTTTGCAACTCAAAGTGTGGCCTGTGGCTTAGCCACATTGGCATCACCAGAGACGCACTCACCCAGCTCACAAAGTCTGAGTCAGTTTGGATCATGGAGCTACACTTACACGATCCATAAAACCTACTTTTTTTTATCTTCCCTTCTTCAAGTCATCCAAAAAAAATCACACCTGACAATCCTTTTCAGAAACATTTTCATTGTCCCAAGAGAGGGATATGAAATTCCAAATGCTTCATGAGAATAAGTGTTTAAAAAAAAAAAAACCCACATATTTGGTTTAGAGGGTTTGAAAGAAATCTGTGATTGATTTCTGTACAGCTAAGAACTGTAAGTTACCAATAACTTTATACAGGAATAAACTGATGAAACTGAGCTTTATGGAGATTGGTGATTCTCACCAAACACTGCTCAGGCCTTGCCATTCCCATCAGGCACCCCTGACCCTGCAGGAGCTCCCCCGCAGCAGGCGAAACGGCTGTCAGCAGCGAGGTGATGACACACGTGCTGCTCATCCATGCGTGTGTCCTGGGGGCCATGGGATTCACTGACAGCTGCTCAAACAGGCTCAGTCATGAACAGAATTCAGCTTTACCTGAAAGTCCTCTATATTCAATTGCGAAAAGTAGCACACTAGTGACTGCTTGTAACACCTACTAATCAGAAGAAAGTCTTCTGACTCGGCAGAGTGGTTAGACGTCCACATGAACAGAGGAGAGACAAGAAGAAAGGTCTCTGGTAAACCAACAGCAGATCAACAGTGGCACCTGCCAACTGCCGAGTCGGCTTCTTTATCAGGGAATACAAATGGTTTCAAGGCGTCTTTCTCTCTTCATGAAAAGAATATGAAAAAGAGAAAAAACACTGACAATGACAACAAAACCTCAGATGGAAGAATTCTTTAACTGGGACAGTAGTTTTGCAATCCCCACATTATCTGTTCTCGTGCAGAGCCAGAAAAAATACTGTCACCAAGTTACGAGAACAGCAGCCTTTGTTTATTTCAGAACGCATTTGTGTCAGAATAGGAAATATGCTACTGTCTTTCGGTTTTGTCTCTGTCTAGTGAAAGTGGGAGGTCAAGTCTAGACAACGGCAGGAGCTGAGAACATGCCCCGGAATGCCATTCTGGGATATGGCCTCGCACGCCAAATCATTCTGATTCCTGACATCGATTCTGGAAGCTTCTAAAAGGAAGAAGCACACGGTTTTCATGCTCATTACTTATATGAAGCAACAAATCAAAATGCTTATTCCTAAAGGATAAGAAAGATCTTGCCACAAAACCCAGCACAGAGCAGTGACCATAACCATTTGGGTTCTTTTCTTGCTTATTCCCATTTAACTCAATCAGGTAAAAGTATTTTCCCAAAAGAGAGGCAACAGAGTTCAGAAATACTATTTTAAGGGACAGGATAAATAAGATTTGCAGAGAAATTTCAGATGTAGGCTTTTGATTCCAGAACTGGTGGTGGTACCAACAGGTGACCTATGGGACTTCAGATCCCCAACAGTCTCCATCCATCCCCAAAACCCATCAAAATAAACCTCAAAGCAGTCCTCTTGTTATGAAATCAAGCTTCAAGACAAGTTCCCATCCAGCCAGGCTGAAACCTCAATGTTACTCTACCAATATTCAGGTGCCACAACCATCCAAAATCACTACATAATCAAATGGCCATTTATTTTTCCTTATATTAGAGAAGAAAAGTCAAGGAGTAAGGCTAAATCTTGAGACTTGGACAGCCCTAGGTTTGAATACCAGCTCCTTTACTCATTGATAAGAGACTTGAGGAAAAATACTAAACCTAAGTCTGAAAGTACCCTCATGTAAGTCACTGAGATTAGCCAGTGAACTTGGGGATGCAATTCTCAGCAGGCTGAGGTGAGGACGTGGTCAGATGATATCTGTATGGACCTGGCAGATCTTAGCACTAAGGGAGAAGCTAACAAATAGCTCCCTGCCCATCCATCCTCTTTTTTATTGATTCAAAATCACTGACATTATGTGGTCTCCCACTGTTAAGGTAGAAAGAGAGAAAAAAATCAGCTGAATAACAAAATCATAGCTCTCATAACAACTAGGACTGTACTCTGAGAAGTGTGAATATATCGCTGAGCAAAAGAATTTTCTATTTTACAAATGATTAGAAAAATTCAGCATCCTACATGGAGATCACAGAGTTCTAGGAGTCTGTGTTCTCTCCCTTTAATCTCAATAGGTTACTAGTTCTGGGCAGAGAGTAAACACCTCTGCTCTGTTCAGCTCTCCTTCCTTTACCCTGCACCCTCGCTAAAGGGAAGCTCAGGGAAGAATTACGTTGCCTACTCAGAGTTGCTATAACAACATTGTTGCCAAAATAGCAGGCACCCTGCAGGAGTCAGAGCAGCCTCTTACAGATATTAAATGACTTCTGCTCCTGGTACATCCTCTGTTGCCTGTTAAGGGGCCAGCCTGGGGCAGCCAGGGACCACCGGAGTCACATACTAGCTAAGGAGATGGAGAAGGGTTTTGAAAATCGCTGGGCTTCTCCCATACACAGAATCCCAGTGGCCTGCGCTGCACATCTGAAGATTCCTTTCACCAGGAGGGAACAAAGTGGTCCCCTTGTACTATCTGCAGAAGCAAGTCTCATTTGCTTCATAAAGTTGAGCTTTTTCCCTAAATAATGAGCATTTCAGGGCAGTAAAAAAGAATGCTGCCCAGTTCTTAAAAGGTACGAGTCTGTTACCTGGGAGGTCATCGGAACTGAAACTTCCGAGTGAGAGAGTATACAAGCGGACAATGTCCAGACCAGGGATGACAAAAGAACTCTGACCCCAACCTCTAGGGCGACCGGCCCAGGGACTCAGAACACCATCTTGGCAGCACTCAGCCCAGAAGGGGGAGGACTTGATTAATAACTAACAGCTTCCCTACTTTTTGTCCCTGCACCAGCCCAACGCCGAACCAGCCACAGAAAGCCAAATGCGCTCCCCAAACCAATCGCTTCAGACGCTCTGCTTCTGACTAGCCCACCGCCAGCTTCTCCACGCCAGCGACCTCCAGTCACAGCATACCTGACGCCTTCTCTCCTTGTGACTGAAAAACCTTCCCACTCCCCTGCCTGCTTTTGAGTCTCTGCCAAAGGCAAGTGCCCGGAGGCGCACTCCCTTGCTATAACAAACTGAAAAAATAGCTTCTGTTCTCATGTGAGTGGTCTTTGCTGATTTCTGCAAGATTCACCTGTCTGTTTTGTTATATCCAATGTACTGACAAGAGCCTCTTTGACTATTTGTTATACTAAGGACTACAGAAACGTAAGCAATGCAATACTGCCCTTGAGGCCCCTGGGCAACCCTAAAATGTGCCTAAAATCTGCCTTCAGCAAACTTCCACACTCACCAAACCATCTCCAACCACCCTGCTCCTTCCGCTTCATGGCTCCAACCATAACAAAGAATTACATTCGCTCACAGAGTGACCAGTCATCCCAGTTTGCCCAGAACAGCCCCATTTTTAGTACTGAAAGTTCTACACCCCAGGAAGGCCTCAGTCCCAGGGGAACCAGGTGGTCACCCCCCGCAGCTCTGCGCCATGCCATGCAGTCCTAAGGTACAGCCATTGCACGTGTAATTTGTCCTGCCAGGAATCTTCTCTTTTACCACTGACAGATTATCAACCTGGTGAACTCCTCTCAATCTGCCAAGTCCCTGCCGAGAAGCCCACTCCAAGGTCTCTCTGATAACAGTCCACCCCGCAGTCCCAAGGAGGTCATCCCTCCCTCCACCATGCCACACTAGCCTGTGTATATCTCCGTCCATGTCACAGGGCACAGGGATGACCTGGTTCTGGCATTTAGACTCTGACCCTCTTACCCAGTTAACTCCTTGAAGGCAGGAGCTGCATTGTATTGACCTCTGTGTCTGTCTCCTCACTGTCATCACCACACCCAGCCACGTTTGTCTGTTTCCTGAGTAAATGACTTTGAGGGTGATTAAATGGCCTAGATATTATTTATTTACTATAATTATAATTCCTTATTATTGAATGACTGAATTTTTACAGACTCATTTATTAATGAGTTAAATTGATCCTTACAAAAAAGCCCAAAAGCTCTGAATTGAGCTGAAGGGAGAGCTTTTATATATATACATATATATATATAAAATATATATAGAACTTGGGTGCCTTACAAGACATATACTTATTAATCCATTTCAGTTACTCAGATTATTTACTGACCTCAATCTGGGTGGTGTTGTCCCGCCCATCGTCCAGGAGCAGGTCCGTGAAGCCTCTGGGCTCTGGGGAGTCTTGGCCCATGCTGGCTCGGTTTGAGTCTACCGCCTTGAGGGAATCCAGGTTCCTTTTCCACCGGTGGCTGAATGCATGTGAGTCCACGTCCACCTCCTCTTCTGTTTGTGGGAAGGCCTGAGCAACATGATAGTGCCAATCTGTTTAGAAAAAAAAAAAAAAGAAGAAGAAGAAGAATTAATTACCACTTACGCATCATTCACATGCTTTCTAATAGAGCAGAAAAATATTCTGCCAGTCGTGAAAAGAGGAAACGAACGCGTAACAGTGAAATCCGTTTCACTG